TTTTTTTAATGATTCTTCAAAATCTATATACTTATGCAATAGCAGGGTTCTTATTCTCCCTGCGAACGCGGTGGGTGTAGCAACTTTGAATTTTTAACTGAAACCCTTCATTTTTATTTAAATAAACATTTTGAAATTAGATTAGAACTATTATGGATATAGATATAAAATTAGAATAATTAATTAAATTAGAAATTTAGAGTTGAAAATACACAACTTTTGTGTGAATCTATAATAGCTTCTTTAACCAGTGGGAAGAGCTTCAAAATCGTCGTTTTGATGACATTTTTAGGAGTTAGATGATTTTAAGTAAATTTTTAGATAAAATTATGTAGAACACGTTGGTAAGTTCTCGATGTCTAAAAAATTTCGGAGACATTGTTTATTTGTAGTATTATTTTTTTACAATTTTTCTTCGCATATCTTCTCCACTGTTTGTTTTACAAAAAATGTCAAAAACTTATAAAGCTAATCGCGTTCAATTTGAATGAGAGTTACAAACACAAATCTGTTTCACATATCATATATAATTAAGGGACCAACTATGCTGTTCACGTACCATGTTAAGATTCCACGGAAATATTTTTCAATATATGTAGTTCATTTATGCTAAACTTGGACACTGTACGTCAAATAGTTTACGAGCTATAGAATTATAAACAAATTAACTTCATATTTCCTTTAAATTCGTTTACTGAAGAAAATCCAAATTTAGCTATACAGCTCGCACTCCCTCGTAGGGGAAAATTAACTCATTCCAGACACCCACCATATCAAAAGGATTGACCTGTGGGACTCTTTCTGTGTTCGATTCCTAGGTGACTTGGTACATCGGGGTTTGTCCCAAAAATTTTCTTACATTATTATCTAGTATTATATAAAGCTTATTAAGGACGTTGTAACGGCGTTAAAGTTCAAAAGCTTGTGATATATAAAACATCTAAATTTGCAACGGTTTTTCCCTGGCAGCAAATTTCACGTTCAAGAACAAAGGATAGTAATAAAAACAATTAAATCTATGTACCTATTTCTTAATTATTATCTTGTGTTAGTTATCTTACTCTATGTTAGACTCTTCATTACTATAAAAGAAGTAACACTCTCTATGGTTAAAATTGTTCACGTTTATCACCTTTTTTGTAACATTTCACTTGGGCCATAATATATTTACAAGAACCAATGAATTTGATCTCGTTTCCGTTTACACGAGCATTGGAGCCCCCGTATCTGACAATTAGAAAAAAACCAATATAATAATTATTCGTCACAAAAAGGTAAACATAAACTCATCTTTTACACCTATTAGTAGTATAGTATATGTATGCATGTTTCTTCAACTTGGATTCCGTGCTTAAAACTGGTACCAGCTCTACATTTTCTTTACTCCAGCCAGTTAGCAACAGATTCAGCAGTCAAAGTCTTGGTGTCACACTACATACTCATACCTTCGTTTGGATGAGTATGTACACGAATATTATATATTATACTGTCTGAAGTAGGAGAAAGTTTATATGTTTATATGGATCAATACAAAGATTGTTAGTACTGGTCAAATACAAAACCAATCCTTTTAGGGTTGTAGAGGTTCTTGAACACTATTGATTTTAAAATTCTTGCATAGTCGCCAAATGATTTGCAGTTAGAGGGTTTGCCAACGGCTTGGATTAAACTCATACCTTCAAGAATGTGACACTTTTGTTACTTTATAATGGTAATGATAGATATTTAGACATAACTGTAAACTGTCCTATTATAGAACCTAAGGCAGATTTATTTGATGGTATCGATAAAACTCTTACAGGTACAAGTGACATTGGATATGCTGTAAATTCATATTTGAAAATATTCTCATAATATTTATGTTACTTTCAATTGCCTTGGTTGTTAGTATTTTTTGTAAAAGCTCTTGCTCAGCTTAAATAATCTTTTTCTTTTCAGAGACAGTTTTATAGTGTTGGAAGTGTTGAAAGTACTTCTTGTATGCTGATAAAAATTGGGAGCTCTAACAGTAAGAAGAAATTTTGCTAGGCTCTTCTCCATTTTTTTTTGTATATTTAGTAAGGGTATTTGAATATTTGGCAATGCAATCTCATTAGCTGAAATTACGAGAAGACGATCTACGCTTTTGAAAAATACATTAAATCGTAAAAAACTGATCATGTAGTTTTTGTACAGAATATTCATCAATTTTCATCCGTTTTTTTTTCTATTTTCTACCTTTTGACTTGAGTGGTTGCTTAGGTCTCATGATGCACGAAATTCATCTACCATCATGCCAATCATATTGTAGCTTAACAACCATTCGTCTAGTTTTGTGCTGGTTTTAGTCAATCCCACGATTCCTCCTGCATCTTTTGAGTTGTATTTATATGTTTCAAGCTGGATCTACAAATAGTTGGTTAAAGTTGCTGTTCAAACTTTTCACAACAAAATTTCTTCTCATAAAGTCTTCATGTAATTCTGGAGCCTTATCAGCAAGTTTGTACATGTCCAACAAATATAATGTTCCCCAAAAAGAATAGTTCACATGGTCAAATGCAAAGAAATAGGGGTACATTTTTCTAAAACTAGAACAAAAATGTATTCTCCAGTTTCCGCTTGTTTCAGCAAACTAAAATGGAAATGGACTTTACGGAAAGAAACATGCCGTAATCAGATTTTTGACTCAAGTTCACTGTCATACCTGCTGCTGTTCATTAAAATAATTTAAAACTTCTAATATTAAAAATCTCAGCTCAGTGGATTTCGTGCTATTAGTAAAAAATAATGCACATGATGTACTTTCGAAATCGAATATACAACACAACAGAATTTCAATGTAAAATCGACCCTAACAACATCGCCATCACTAGAGTCGATTTGAGGTTGACTTCAGATTATGAATCTCGTCCCTTCCTCGCATCTCTGCGTTTGCCACTGTGCGTCGTGACATGCCGATCAATTTATTTAATTTTTTCTTAAACTATTTATCCAATCGACATTCTATACAAACCGACATGTTCTCCGATGTTTGGTCTATAACTTTTATAAAAGCCATTTTTTGCTAGACCCAATATTTTTCGGGGTAGAGCGAGGAGAAACGATTTTAAAAATATGGGTTTTCAGACTCATTCTAAGTCATTTTGTATGAAGGCACTCCGTATACAACAATGGTTTGACGTATTTTTATAAATAAAATAAAAATATTTCTAATGTCCGGATCGATATGCAAATTTGAAGAATGAATTTTCGGATATCGTAGATCCGAAAAATGACGAAAAACAAATTAGCACTTTTTTTGTAAGGCTCCCCACCACTCCCCTCGCGCTACGATTTTTGGACGACCAAGTGATTTTGCATTAGAAAGATATTAGAATCGAATAAAAATAGGTTTTGCATTTTAGCAACAAAGTGCCCACCAAAATCTATTCTAGAAGCCTTTTTCCAGTCTTATTTACTCTTCTGTATGGAATTGTATTTACTCTTGTACAAAACTAATATTTTTATGTTAAAACACAATTAGAATGTTAAAATGATAGCTTTTGTTATACAGATAAACTGTTTAGTTTAAATAATTTTCCCTTTTTAATTTTGTACATAAATAATAAACAAAAATAGCTTTGAGAATAGATTTCACAAATTCAAGAAAACAAATATACATAAAAATTATAATCATTACTTAGCTTCTGTTATCTTTGAATTTTGTTTCACTACTTCAACTGACTGCTGCCCTTACAATATTTTTATAATACAAAACACCATAACCGCAAATTACTTTACTGTTTGAGTAGGAAATATGCAATACAACCCGAGCTCCGGTCGCTCGACTAATACTCTTTAGAGCTGGCAACAGTGTCTGATCTCGCGTTGATCTGTAAATATCTAAAATTTCGTATATAAGTCTTCCCCTTCCCTTTTCATCTACGGATCTCATTTTGTTGCAAATTTATCAAAAAAATTTAAGTTCAAAAATCTTTTCCCCTCTAAGTGTGCCATGATTAATATGTTAATTATAAAGATAGTAATGAACAATATACTCCATTAATTAATTTCTTATTGGTGGATCTCGGGTTGTCCTCGATTTAATCGGATCTCGCCTTGATATGAAGACGTATATATATATATATATATATATATATATATATATATATATACATATATATATATATATATATATATATATATATATATATATATGTATATATATATATATATATATTGTTATTAGTTTTTATTTTAAAATATTTTTTATTCTTAGTTCATTGTTGTAATTTCTATGTTTTATTGGAAGAAAAAGATGTCATGAGACTGAATAGCTCATGGATGTAAAGTCTGACAGGACTATATGACATGGGACAGGCGGCACAAGGTTTCATGACATAGAGAGAGGTTAAGCCGGTTAAGCACTTTAGATTAGGTTATGAAGACACTGTATTACTGAAAGGAATAATAATAAAGATTAAAGATGTACAACAGTCCGTATTAAACAATATTACACGTAGAACTTTGAACTTTCTATAAATCTGGGCTGTGAAATGTATTAGTCAGGGCGTTCGTTACTATACCATAAACATTTTTCAGATTTTTTTTATAAAGATGAATTTTGACAATTTCTTTAACAATCATCATTTTACATATTATTTTCTGAGCAATGTTCTTAAAAAGCTTGCATATTTTTAAGAGAAAAGAAGTTCACTTAAATTTTGCATAAACCACACCCATCAGCGAAAGATCGGGAAATGTGAACAAAGTAGAGCTCAGTTCATTTGTATATGGCAAAATTGTTACTCCAAATTTGTTGAACGGCTGGTAAATTATTCTAGTATAACGTTTTATAATTAAATTTAGCATGTAGAGTTACTATTATATTTGCTTTAGTAACTCTAACATTATTACCTTCGTTACTCACAAGAGGGAGTTTAGCATCCAATAACGAAACCCAAATCTTCCAATTAAACTATGTACCCAATCTAGTTCAATCACAATAATCTTTCAGTCGCTAATATTTAAATAAATAAGCCCTAGAACCCAGCTTTCATCAAACAGTCAATATCGGCGTCATCGGTCGAGTCGTCTGAAGGTGTCGGCGACGGGGACGAAACTGTGGTCATTAGGGATGCTCCCAAGGTCGTCGGTTGCCTAGTGAAGCTCGATCGCCGTTGGGCTGTATTGGAGTTAACCCAGGAAGGCCTTCGCAACGACGACGTTCCATAAGCTTCTTCGGGAATTATGTCCCTAGTGATGGATCTAAAAAAGATTCCTGTTAGAAAAAAAAAAACAATTTCATTTTTAGTTTTGTGCGATTAAAACGGAGGATTGTTTCATAAATGCTTGTGGACAAAATTAATTCTTGAAGTAAAAGAAGAAACATACATAAGAAAATTTACCTGTAGGAAAATTAAATAAAGTAGATGATAAATTAATATAAGGTTGAATGTTCGAATAATTGAACTTTGATGGTATACAAGGCAAATATCGAACACAGTAATTAATTAAATCTTGCCCAAGTACTTTAGATCAATAGATCATCCTCAGGGGCATCTGAAATAAGCCAAGAAACGTTTTTTTATAAAAAGGGAAATTGATTCACTTCGATAATAAACTCGAAGTTTATGGTTGAAAAAAGTTTTTATGTGATAAACGTTTATAAATTTACTTCGTCAGTTGTGGCCTATCCGACATGAGCAGAATGTCATACATGTAAATTTGGACATAACAATACAATACACAAAGACAAACACTTTAAAATATTTTAAAATGGAGAAGCTACATGTTATATAGAAACCGGAGACAGAATGGCTCCTGGTCTGGCGGAAATATTAAGATGACATGTGACAAATGACAGCTTGTAAAGGGCGGTTACAATAGATATGTGATCTGCACCTTTCAAAATTCATCTATGATCACATATCTATTGTATCCGCCCTTTACAAGCTGTCATTTGTCACATGTCATATCAATATTTCCGCCAGACCGGGAGCCATTCTGTCTCCGGCTTCTATATAATATGTAGCTTCTCCATTTTTAAAAATATTAAAGTGTTTGTCTTTGTGTATATATTGTTATGTCCAAATTTACATGTATGACATTCTGCTCATGTCGGATAGGCCACAACTGACGAAGTAAGTCTATAAACGTTTATCACATAAAAACTTTTTTCAACCATAAACTTCGAGTTTTTTATCGAAGTGAATCAATTTCCCTTTTTATAAAAAAAACGTTTCTTGGCTTATTTCAGATGCCACTGAGGATGATCCATTGATCGAAAGTACTTAGGCAAGATTTAATTAATTACTGTGTTCGATATTTGCCTTGTATACCATCAAAGTTAAAATAGATGAGTATAAAAATCGAACTTACCCACTATTCAACTCCATCATCGATCCTCTTCTAGCCTGTCGTCTCTGTCCGGGTGGTTGAGGAAGAGGAGATATCGGCATCAGCGGTTTCTGTAACACACCTAACGGATCCGACTCTTTTTCGCTATCGTCAACGAGAAGAGACGTACTTCGTCCTGACGAATTCCTTCTTTCCTTTTGTGGAGTAGATTCGGCGCTGCAGGATTGCTCAGAGCCGATGCTCTCACGTCGAAAGAGGCCTATGACTGATGAGCGAGGATTTTCTAGACCACCTATAGAAGTAATAACAATATTATGCGTTAATCCAAACGAAATCGGGGAAACGCGTTTTTTAGATGATCGTATCGTTTGGATTACCTATGACTTTTTTTATTGGGAGAAGAAAAACTGCCAAAAAACACAATGAAAATGACTGAAAATGCTTTATGTATATTAATAAAATATTACATTATACAAATATATATACACTATATTTAATAAATATATATTATCTATATAAATTTCAATGGAGAGCAGTAAAAAAATCTGTAATTTTTTTCTGGACACCAGTCTCGACATGCTGATTAAACTTCCTGTCTCTTATAATAATAATAATAATAACGTTTATTTCCATGAAATATACAATTAATAATATTACAATAAAATAATTAAATGACAATAAATTTTAAAAAATATTACTTTTACTTTGTAGTTCTGTAATTGGTTCAAGGTAAATAAACAGTAGTGCCCATTAAAACAATTAAGTTGAGCATGGGCCATTTTTTTAAATTGCTTATTTATATTGATCCTACAGCAAGGCGAGCTTTACTACTTTATTAGTTATGATTATTACCTATATTATGATAAAACAAAAAAAATAAAAATATTTTTATTAATTAATTAACAAGAGAGAGACAATTCATGCATACAATCAACCATGATAATAGCATATATAAATTTTTAAGATTTCGTAATCTATTCTTGATTTGACGTTAGTTATAACCTAATTGGTCTCAAAAAGGTGGCTGAACAGTTGTCTATGATTTTGTTTCAAATACCTAGTAAACAATGTCTTAATCATTTTTTGCGAGTTTATAGTGATTAGGTATGTTTTGTAAATTTCAGGGAGCAAATTGTAGATTCTTCCTTGTAAATACTCAAAATTTCGTTTACCAACTGTTTTCTTTGCAATATTTAATTTGACAAAAGACTGTGCTCTATTTCTCGTATGATAGGTATGCCCTAATGGTGTGAGTAAGTGTTTATTTTTGTATAAATTGGTGATTATTGTAAGAATATATAATTGTCTTGTATCTAACATTTGAGTTTCGGTATAAAGATCATTAGTAGGGTATCTTGAAGGTCTATTGTAAATAATTTTTAATATTTTTCTCTGGATAGTGTCTAATTGGTGGAGGTATGTATTTGCAACTCCACCCCAACTAAGGATTCCATAACGTAGACGCGATTCTACCAAAGAATAGTAAATAACCTTCAGATGATGGATATCCAGTATATTACGTAAATATCGCATTTTGTACAATAGACATCTCAATGTTTTACACGTTTGGTTTATGTGTATATCCCATCGTAGATACGAGTCGATTTGAACACCAAGGTATTTTGTGTTACTCACTGCATTAATACTCAGATTTTTTATTTTTATAAATTTGTAATCTGGTAGACCTCTCTTATAGCTTGTAAATGGAACATAGACTGTCTTATCCATATTTACTGTAAGAAGTTTGTGGTTAAATATATCAATAATTCTTCCTAAGTCATGTTCCATTTTTCGCTTTAGTTCCATCCACGTGTCTGCAGAGTACAAAATTGCTGTATCATCTGCAAAACTTAATATCTCACCTTCAGTCCGGTAAGTAAGAATATTGTTTATGTACAGTATAAATAATATGGGTCCTAGTACAGTCCCTTGTGGTATACCAAAATTTATGCTTTTGGCACTACTCAATTTCCCTTCTAGTCGCACTCTTTGATATCGATTTTTTAAGTAGCTTTCCATTAAGTTAAATGTGTTTCCTCTTATACCAATGTCTGCTAAAGTATCTAATAGTTGTAAGTGACTAACTGTATCGAACGCCTTTGCCAGGTCTAGGAATACACAAGCTGTTGGTGTACTGCTGTCAACTAAGTTATAAATTTTATTAGTTAGGTACGATATTGCATTTTCCGCGGATACTCCCTCCCTAAAACCATATTGTTTGTTTGAAATTAACTTATATTTTTCTAAGTATAATACTAGTTGATATTTTATAGCCTTTTCTAATATCTTGCAAAGTGAAGTGATTAGTGAGATTGGTCTGTAATTATTTGTTAATTTTGGATCGCCTTTCTTATGAATGGGAATCACCACTGTTTGCTTAAGTTGTTCGGGCCATTTGCCGCTAGAAAATACATTATTTAATAAATAAGTAATGGGACAAGTTAGTATTGGCGATAGTTCTTTAAGTACTTCAGATTTAATACCATCTATTCCTGGAGCTTTGTTCGATTTTAATGAGGCTATCATCTGAACAACGTCATTTTCATCCACAGGTAATAAAAAGAAGGAATTTATTGTAACGTTTCTCTTTGGTGGTCGAGAAGGAGGTTTTATTATCTTCTGAGCATATGTTTCTCCAACTTTTGAAAAATATTTGTTAAATTCCTCGGCGATCTCATTTGTGTCGGTAATACTTTGGTTATTTGCAGTAAGTATTTCTTTGATATTTTGAGTATTAACATTTTCACTATTATAGTTATTTACTATTTTCCACATATTTTTTGAAGACTTATTATTTTTCATAATTTCTTTTTTAAAGTAATTTTTCTTTGTCACCTTAATAAGTGTGTTCAATTGTTTACGGTACTCTAGGTAAGCTTTCCTTTTTTCTTCATTTGTTGGATGATTTATGTGATCTTTATACAGTTTATTTTTTTTATTAATTGATTTGACTAGTCCTGCTGTAATCCATTTTTTTCGCTTTTCATTTGCGCGTTATATGCCTCAGAATCAGGATCTACCCAAGAAATGGTCGTGTTCAGGGCTTTAACAGCTTTAACAGCAGAAGTTTTTGAAGCAAGTGGTTCATCATCAACATCCTCCTCTTCCGTTTCTTTATTTTGAATGGTTCCAACAATTTCTTCACCCGAGAGGATTTGTTGGGTGTTAATTGCTATGTTACAGTCTAGTCTTGAACCAGCTGAGCGACAAGGGGCTTAAAATGATGTTGGATGAAGAGTCGTCAACAGCCACTAAGTTTGGGCTCAAGTTTTTCCAAAAAAGTTGAACTAAATGTGAAATGGACGACCAACAATTTGCCGAATTGAAAACGCCGTCCTTCAGATTAACTTTCTTCAAAGCTATTATCAGATCCGTTCCATTTTGCTCGCCAGGAAGAATGTTGGAGAGTAAAACTTTTCGCTAGCGCAATTTTGTGTTCTGGATGACACTCTGGTCCGTTGATTGAATCATAGCTGCCGTGTTAGGTGGTAAGAACATGGCAAAATTTTTACCATCTTCACTACAAAGTTCATCAGCGGATAGATGACCAGAGCAGTTGTCCAGCAGCAATACAGCCTCCTGAGGGACGTTCACACTTGCGAGATGACGACGAACATCAGGGATGAATTCAGTTTTGAACCAATCCAAGAACAAATCTCTTGTCTTCTTCTTCTTCTACGCCACTATAGCCCAAAATGAGCCTTGGCCTCCTTTATTTTTTGCCTCCAGCCTTGTCTGTCTGTGGCTGCTCTTCTCCATACACGGACTCCTAAAAGTGCTTGTGCGTCGCTGCTTACTGTGTCTTCCCAGCGCTTTCTTGGCTTTCCAACTGGTCTCTTTCCCTGCATTCTGGCGTTCAGTGCTCGTTTTGGTAGCCTATCCTCTCCCATTCGTATCACATGTCCGGCCCATTGCAATCTTTGTATTCTAATGAAGTTTGACAGGGGTGTTTCCTTATCTCTTGTCACCCATGCATTTTTATGCGCTCGGTACTATAAGGGAAGACCAACAGATTTAAATGCACGAGATTTGTTAGCCGTCCCCACAACGAGCAAACTAAGTTAGTGAGTCCCTAAAGCATTTGCACAAGGCATAAAGGCGATTCTGTCTTTTATAATTTTTCGACCAGGTGTGTTCTTTTCTTGAGATGACACCAATGTATGGTCTGGTAACATGCGCCAAAATAACCCACTTTCATCTGCATTGTAAATTTGCTCAGATGTCAAATTGTTTTTAATCACAAGTTTTTCATATGCAGTTCGGAAGGGTTCGATGCCGTCGGCATTACTCGAAAGTTTCTCATCAGTAATTTTGAGATGTCTAACTCCATGACGTCGTTTGAAGTAGTCCAACCTAGGAAATGACGGGCTTTTTCAACAATTTACCATTCACCGGAATATACTTTCTCAGCTGTTGTAGGAACCACATGAACAACACTTTGGTTTGGTGGTTTTCCTCTTCCCTGGACTGCTTTCCGTTCAGCTGACCAACTTTTCGATCTTTTTTTTGTTCTTCTTAATATCCGTAAGCTGTTATGTAAGCTAATAATAATCTTGTTTTAACAATAATTTGTATTAAACTTCGTTTTAGACTAAAAGTGAGTTAAACTTTTCATAAAAAGTTCCGATTAAAACAAAGTGCATATGAGAAACAACCTTTTTGTGATATTTTTCATCACATGCATGTTTGGAAGTTCATTTGCATAAAGATCAAATAAAAAAATGAACCCCTAAAGAAATTTGCCAATGAAGGAGGCAGTGCAAGCATTGACTCTCCTAGATGAAGGATATCTAATGCTATACATTGCAGGTTTGTTAGGAAGACATCATTTCAGCATCAGTCGTAAGGTGAGGCGATATAATGAAACATGGTCGTACCATCGAAGACTAGGGCAAGGGCGAAAACGTTGCACTAATCAAATTGATGATCGTTTTTGAGACAACATGCTCTCACAGATAGAAGAGTTACCAGCAATTTGCTAAAAAATGCACTAGCAGATGTTCGAAATGTCGCGATATCGTCTCGAACAGTTAGAAGACATTTACATGACGCAGAATTGATCAACAGGAAACTGGCCAAAAAATCCATGCTTACCAAAGAACACAGGGTTCAGAGATTGAATTTTGCAAGATTGCATCAAAATTGGACCATCGATGATTGGAAACGAGTTCTTCTCTCCGATGAAACTAGAGTAAGCCTAAAAGCTCCAGATGGTAATGAGCGTGTCTGGCGAAGGAGAGTAGAAAGGTTTGCCAGCTTCAATATCTCTCCTAAAGTACCTTTTGGTGGTGGCCCTAAAATATTTGGGGGGGGGAGGGGGAATTTGTTTTGAAACTCGTGCAGAGTTGGTCCCCATACGTACGAAGTCTATGAATGCCCATTATTACTTAGACAACATTATTGTCAAACAGGTAATGCTTTTTGTTGTTCCGTTTCTTGGACCTAATTTTTTATTCATGCAAGACAACGCTAGTTCTCATTTGGCTCGACAGGTTATTGGCTACCTAAATAATGTTGATATTTCATTATTAGAGTGGCCACCTAACAGTCCGGACATGAATCCTATAGAGTATCTATGGTACTATCCAATAAAAAGACGCAAAAAATAATAAGGCAAATTAAGATCTTGATAAAGTCATGTTGGACCTATTTGTAGGTGTTTATTATTATTTTAATGTAACTTAGTTTTATTTTGTGCTCATATTGTAAATATTTAGATCAATTAAGATAATTTAGATTAATTAAAGTGGTGCGTTAATTTTTTCCAGAAGTTTATATAATATATACATACTTTTTTAAATAAATCCTGCCAGAAGGACAAAATCAGACATTTTGTAATGCCAGAGGGCCTACTGGACGTTAAGTGCTTATGACTAAGATCGTATGGCATAGACAAAAAGACCTAACATATAAATAAATACTTAATAACCTAAAACCAAACCAAAAATTAAAAAAAAATACATAAAAAATTTTATGGTTGCAAAGACAGTTTCCTGAAGTAATTTAAATATTTTCAACTTACCTAAAAAGGTGGCCGAGGGTGAATTATAGGCTAGATATTCTTTATTGGATGCCCATCCAGGGAACTCGCTTTGCAGAATAGGGACGCATCCTTCCTCTTCCCGTTTCCAGGGAAGCATCATCTCCGTCGCCGTTGGTGTAGACACTCTCATGAAATCGCCTGTTAGTAAACAGATACGGTTTTATTTATTCATATTTTACGTTAATTTAACTTATAAAAGGGTTAAGGCTGTTTTAGCAGTTCAAACACACTGCGATTTGAAATGGGCGTATCACTTACATTTCTACTTTGCTTACGCGAGATTATCTTTACTCAGTGGCGTCGGCCAACGGGCAACAAATGCATTACTGTCCATTCAAATTAGTTTTAACACGAACTAACTGACCGTACGCTCACGAAATTTGACGTCACGAATGCGATAACGGTGAACCTAAACGACAATGATGACTAACACGTTTCACTATTAGATTTTAGTAATTTTTAGCAATTTTCTTCAAAGTTTGAACACGCTTTTCTCGATTATTACTGGACACAGAATGGTGAAAAAAAAAAAATCAACGATTACAGAAAAAAAACTCTTTCATGTGATCGGCGTAAGAAGTTTGGTTATAATAGAACGTTAAACAGTATAATCAAATTTTTCAACAGAAGTTTCAAAAAAATAAAAAAAGTAAAACCATCATTTTAAAAGCAACATAGTTTCGAATATGGTGTCCAAATTTCGAGACATTTTGTCAGTAAATAACAGTTCCTAGGTTTTGATGCAGCGATAAAACAGCCTTAAACCAAATACTAGAGAGTGAAGAAGTATAATTATTTCTATATCTTTGTTGAGCACAATTTTTTAATGGCACTTTTACGGTGTTTTTGATTAGTTTTAATTGTATTGTATCAAATCAATATTTTAGAGTAGAATGAGCACAATATTATAAAATTACATAATTAAAGCTTTAATTTGGGCTGTGCTAAATTAAATTTAACCCAAAAATTAATGTAAAATTAACGGTCGAAAGTCTAGAAATATCAATTTTTCGGCATATCTGTTAAATATATTCTTGAGACATAATGACGGTATTACATTTTTGTTTCGATACAAGGCAGTGGAAAGCCGCTTATATGTATTTAGACCTCTTTAGGTTTCATCAGAGCGGTATATGCGGAATTTTGACCATGATGAACGGCAGGTGGAATGCATATTTTACCTTATTGATATTTCATAAATTGCATTAAAATTATTTCTTTTCAATACTTGATAGATCCATAGAAAAAATATTTTAATACATTAATATGTTAATTTCATTTGAATGGTAACACTGCCCATCACGCCAAAATTTTCAAAAAAAATTGAAAAAATCTTGTGAGATAGTGGAACTCGCTTATTACGGCCTCGGTAGTTACGTCATCTCGGTTATAACGTCAATTTTTAATAGGTCCGGTCAAAAACTATTCCATAATGTTATTAAAAACCCGGTTTTATCGGCTAAAAATAAACTAACCCTCGGTTATAGCGTCATAAAATTTTATAGTAGGTTATCCTTTTTTATTTTATGAAGAATAAAGTGCAATGCGTTTCTGGCTTTGCGGCATTGGTTCCTTCCAAGAATGTAAGAAAGGTCCATTATCCCTTCTGTGTACAGTTATGTTACCCTGACAATCTATAATTTCGCATTTATCAGTGCCGTCCTAACACTCACAGTCAAATTTTCTGTTTCGGAACAGTCGGTTTAAGAAATTTTCGCTACCGTGAAATTGTGTTCGGATCGTTTTGTTTTTTTTTTATTTTAATTTGGTAATTAGCTTTTATTTTTTAATATGGCAAGTTGTAGCACTAAAAGGAAGGTTTTGCCTATTAAAGAAAAAGTGCGTGTTATAAGAGCATTTGAAAGTGGTCGAAAAATTGCTGATGTATGCCGGCAAGTTGGACTTGTTAATTCGACTGTCGGCTCAATCATAAAAAACAAGGACAAAATTTTAAAAGCCTTTAAAGAGGACGGAAACAATGTTAAAAAGATTAGGAAGTGCATTCGTGGTGATGTAGATTCAGCTCTACACAAATGGTTCAAGCAGTGTCGCAGTTCTGATATCCCTGTGTCCGGGCCACTTTTAAAGGAGAAAGCTACAGAGTCCGGAAAATTGTTTGGTGAAGATTTCACATGCTCTAACGGCTGGTTAGATCGGTTTAAAGCCAGGCACTCAATTTCCTTCTCGAAAATTGTTGGAGAGGCAAAATGTGTGGACGAGAACGTAACAAGTGACTGGTTACAAAACACATGGCCACAACAAAGGCAACCATACAAAGATGAAGATATCTTTAATGGTGACGAGACAGGTGTCTTTTATAAATTAACGCCAGACAAAACTTTAAATTTCAAAAATCAAAAATGTGTCGGTGGAAAACTTTCCAAGCAAAGAGTGACGGCTTTTGTTTGTGCAAATATGACAGGTACAGAGAAAAGAAAGCTTTTGGTTATTGGGAAAAGTTTACATCCTAGATGTTTCAAAAACATTAAAACACTACCTGTAAACTACACAGCCAATAAAAAGCATGTACTTCTGCTATTTTTGAAGAAGAATTGAGAAAGTGGGACAAGGAACTCTCTTTCAAAAAAAGAAAAATTCTTCTCCTAGTTGACAACTGTGCAGCCCATTCCAAACTTAATTTGACCAATATAAATCTAGTGTTCTTACCAGCCAACTGCACGAGTGTCTTGCAGCCTATGGACCAGGGAGTCATAAGAAGTTTAAAGTGCCATTATCGAAAACAGCTTTTAAAAAGAATGATTTTTTGTATGGATAATGGAGAACCTGTGAACATTACCATCCTGGATGCTGTTCAGTTTTTAGACAATGCGTGGAGTGCGGTTACGTCAGTGACAATTCATAAGTGTTTTCGTCAAGCAAAATTGACTGTAGCTTCTCTCAATGTTGAGGACGTTGATAAAGATGACGAAATGCCTTTGTCAGAGTGGATACAAAAATTTAATGTGAATCAGGGAGCGTTCGGAACTGATCTTGACTCCTACATTTCAGTAGACGATGAGGTGGAAACATTTCAAGTCCTAAGTGATAAAGAAATTGTTGAACTGGTGCAAAACGTGGAAATGGATGTCGATGAAGCTGAAGAAGAAGAAGACATCGTTGCTTGTCCTACAATCCAAGAAGCAATGAGAGCTGCTGAGACCATATCCAGGTTTTACCAGTTCAGGGAGGCATCCACAAATACCAAAGAAGCAGCTCAGCTTATTAAGGAAACAACAGAAAAACTTTATTTTTCGGAAAGGGTTGTGCAAAAGAAAATAACGGACTTTTTTCAGCAATAGAACTTTTTTACACAATGTAAGTTTCATATACATACATAATATGTTTTGTTTTTTAATTGTTTTTTATCCTAAAATGATTCTTGTTTTTTTTTTAAATTTGACTTAAGTAAATGTTATATTTTCGGTATATCGTAAACTATGTTAAATTATCATGTTTAGGCCCAGAGTAATTAACAAATAATATATCTACTATACCCAATAATGCTGTAATATTTTCCCTCATTAAAATTTTATTTTTCTCAACCTCTTTTTTAACGTCACTCTGATATAGCGTCATTTTTTTATTGGACCCTTCAATGACGCTATAACCAAGTTCCACTGTATACTAGCGCAAACAAGTACCTTATTGGTGCTTGTAAAGTTTGATGATCAGGACAAACCTTGGGCTCCACACAAAGTGTGCTTTCAGTGTGTCGAACTACTGAGAAAATGGACTAGAGGTACACGTAACTCTTTACCCTTTGGCATTCCTATAGCATGGAGGAACCAAAAAACCATGCCGGCTGCTACTTTTGCTCATGCTCCAAAAAATTCACACAAAATTAAATATCCTGATTTACCTTCTGCTAAACGACCTGTATCGTATAAACCAGGAATTCCTATTTCTCCAACTTTTCTTCACACCATTCAACAGCAATCATCAGATGAAAGTTCAGACGAAAAAACCGATGAAGGTGAATTCAATCCTGAGATAGATCAACCTAAAAAGCTGAACTAAATGACTTAGTAAGAGATTTGGGCCTATCGAAGAATGCTAAGTAGTTCTTTTGCTCCCTCTTCACATAAAGTTAGGATTAATGAAGCAGTTTTTCAAAGCTTTAGATAAAAAATATGACTGCTTTAAATATCTGTGCGACAAATTTCCTGCACTTTCTGGAGCTAAACTTAAAGAAGAAATTTTTGTAGGTCCTCAAATTCGAACCTTAAAATCGGACAGACCGCTCCAGAATACAATCACCCAGGATGAATCTGAAGCATAAAGTTCTTTCCTAGAACTCATAGATGGTTTCCTTGGAAACTACAAGTATCCAGACTATAAAGAAATTGTAGTTAACATGATCCAAAATTATAAAAAACTGGGAAGCAATATGGGAGTTAAACTTCATTTTTTGGATTCCCACGTTGACTATTTTCCCGAAAATATTGGAGCTGTCAGCGAGGAGCTGGAAGAAAAGTTCCATTAAGATATAGAGGAGATGAAAAGATGTTACCAAGGAAGATGGGATATAAGAATGATGGCTGATTACTGCTAGACCTTGAAGAGAGACTCCATCACAAAAATCCATAAAAAGAAGACCACAACATGCAGTTTTCATAAAAAAGAGAACGATCTAATGTAAAAAAAGGTTTCAATAAATATTTTCTCAGTATTTTTGGCAGTCTGTATAAAAAATTTCAAACACACTTTTCTAGAAAACCTGACGTGATGGAAAAAAAGTAAGTACAGATTCATAATCAGCACATCTCATTTACTATAGGACACATATTCAACTTAAAACACTTTTTTATGAAAATGGAAATGTAGGCCTGTTATTGGCTTAAGACGGGATATATTTTGTTTCGATTCATGACCATGATGAACGGCAGGTGGAATGCATATTTTAGATTTCCTTGCCGACAAATTCATCAATATGTTTGCTTTGCAAGTTGTAGAAAGTACAGTGGTAAAATTTGAATTTAGTTTCGCAGGGTAGGAAATTGTATGATTTCTCTGGATATTTTCTTGAGGTTCATCATATATTTGAATATACCAATTGTCATACATATTGTGTAAGTAATTTACGATACATATATAGTGTTAACTCATTGTGAAATCCCTGTATATAAAATATTAATTTA